TTGTGTTTTTTTTTGGGGGGGTGGGGGTTTGAGTTTGGACAAAAGTTTGTTGTAATCAGTATATGAAGATGATGATGATGATGAAAGAACTGAATTATACTTTGCTCAGTTGTGGACTTGACTTACAAGATTCATTTTTTATTTTTTTTTCCTTCTTCTTTCTCTCTTTTTTGTGGTGTACAATGTACAACCTAGTTGATTTAAAATGTTTTTTGGTATTCATTGGTTCAAGATGGTTAAAAACCTCAGCTTTTTGTGTTATTTCTTGTTTTTGATAAACCTCAAAAGATTGCTTAGTGTTTTTCCTTCTTTTTTTCGAGTTTTATAAGTTTCTGCAAAGTCTCAACTTACTGCAGGAACTTCAAAACATGATACATCTTGCATCTTTGTTACATACTATTGAACCAAGAAAGAGGAACAACTGCAATAGTACAAACACACACAAACTTGCATTGTTACAACATCTAATAGAGTTCAAGCTCAACCCGTTTATTAATATTAACAAGCCGAGCTTCAACCTTAAGAAGTCAAAATCGAGCCGAATTATAAAAAAAATACATAAAAATCATTTTTTTGAGCTTAATCGAGTCGAGCCGAGTTCGACTTGTTAAATGAACGAGCTTTAAGTAAGCTCGAGCTAAACGAGTCAAGACGAACTCACGAGTGACTCGTTTAATTTAATAATTCTAACCACAACCAACAAGCATAAGCCTCTTTTGGATTGTGTTCAAATTAAAATGCCATTCTCTTAAAATTGTAAGACATTATATAAAATATAATAAATATGCATCTTTAATAGAAAAATTATAACGAATTATCTGTCTAACGATTAGGTTGTGTCAGACAAATTAAAAATGTTGGAATGGATAAGGACTTATGTTAGTTATAAACGTTTAGACGAATTAATTGCATTTTTTTTCCGTAGCATTTGATTTGATTGAATCATTGAGAAGTCAGATTATCTCTCTTAAAATTTAATTTAGTAACTAAAAATTAATACATTTAATTAAATTTAGAAGCATAAAAGCACAANATAATAATAATAATAATAATAATAATAATAATAATAATAATGTATACACGAAAATCATTATAGAAATTATTTTGCTTGTCAATAAGAAATTACAATTGTGGTAATTACCCCCAGCGCCGGGATGTTTATTTAAATGACCTAGTCAAAGGTCATATTTGTTTAAATGACCCTTTTGTCTTTTCTATAAAATGTGTTGCATGAAGGGTCAAAAATACCCTTATGTTATATAACGAATGTTCTTTCGTTTTTCTTTATGATATAACGAAAGTAGGTTCGTTATATATCTTTTATTGGAACTTGTTATATTTTAAGTCCTAATTCTTTACTTATCTCTTGAACTTTTTGTTCAATTTTATATATATTGTTATTTGGTTTTATGATTACTTCAGTACAATTATTTATTTTTGAAGAACTTGCTTCGTTTTCCTCATTATTCTGTTTAGGAATAACGTAGTCTATTTTAGATCTTACGAAAGACGAAGTTCTATGTACTTGAAAGGACCTTCTAGGTGCTTCTAGTTGTAATATTGGTGAAAATAATTCATCAATTTCAATTTTATCATGAGGTTTGAATGACAAACTATGATGACTGTTAGTAAGTGCATAATTTATTCTCCATGTTACTGAAAATGGGTGATTTCCAGTTTTCATTATCTTTCTTTTCATGTTCCAACACAAAGTGATAGAATCATCTAAATTATTGTCTAATAAAGACATTCCAACTTGGTAATTTAAATTAAACTTAATTTTACCAAATTTTAGATTTCCACTCCCTTCAGCTATTAGAGCATCAGAATAATTAATCATTCTATTATCAATTAGTCTTATCGTAATAGGAGAATCTATTCCTAGACTATAAGTTGATTTAAGAATCATTTGTATAGTAGAAACATGTAAGTAAGAGATTTTATTTCTAGTTTCTGTTTTTATATCTTTCAACATAGAAAGAATTTGTTCTTTACAGATAACAGGAATAACTACATTTCCTTCTGTTTGATCTGTATCTATTGCTTCTTCTCCAGAAATGATTCCAAAGAATATTTCATTTTTTCTAGAAATTAAATTATTTAATTTCTTTATCAATCCTTCATTTCTGAAATTATGATTCTTTTTTAAATCATGATCTGCTATTCCTAATTTATTTGCATCTATCAAGGCTTCAATTAAATAGCCTGATTTTTCGTGCTTTGTGCAATAATCTAAAAGATTATTTTCTTTATCCATTTGTTTTTTAATTTATAATTTTAGTATTTTCGCCTGTTGTTACCAGGCTCTGATACCATTTTTCTTTTCTCGTTTTGCTGCTGCTCCAGCTTTTAACTTCAGGTTTATAATCGATTTTGCGGAATTTCTTAGATATTAAATCTTAATTTTTTCAATTTTTTCTTTATACTTTTCAGATAATTAACTTGACCTTCTATTTCTGAAAAACAATCTCCATAGTAATTATCTCTTGTAGAATGTCTTTTATAATAATTTTTCTTGAGTGTAATTCCATATATAAGATTTTCTAAATCTTTTAAAAGATCTTCTCTAGCTTTTTCAAGTAAATCCATTTCATCTTTTCTTATATTACCATAAGCATCTAAACTTATGGGACTAGTATTTAATCTTTCACTAATAATGTCAAACTCTTCTTTCATCATTTAAAAAGTGTTCTTAAAATGAAAACATCGTTTGAAACATTGAATTATGCGGAATACTCTTGAGAAAGATGAGATTCTGCCATGATAAATCCATTTTTTACAAACCTCAAATTCTGGGGTTGTAATGGATTCTCGTTTTGAACGAGTCGAAGGCTATAGGCCATTCTTTCGATATCTGAAGCAATTAGATTTTTATCACAAATTCGAATCAAAGTTTGATACTTAATTTTCAACTTTTGAATAGTTGATTCTAAAATATATTCCCACGAAATAGCAGGCATTATATATTTTCTATATACAGAGTTCTTCTAAGTTTGATATAATTTTAGCTAACTCTTTTTCTCTAGTTACTAGTGATGAATGAATATCATTGTAATAGTTATCTTTTGTTCTTTGTTTATTATTTCTAATAGTTTGTCGTTGAACACCATTTTCTAGAATTTTTAGTTTCTCTAAAATTTCGAGTTTAAGAAACTTTAAAAGATTATTTTCTAATCTTCTTAGTTCTTTATATTTATCTAACCTTATGGGTAATTGTATGCAATTTTCAATGTTATGAAAAACATTATTAAAAAGTTCAGAGTTCATACCTTTCTTCTGGGTTTTGAATTCTTTTAGTGTGCTTGAGATGATTGGTCCACCATAGCTTCCTGCTTTATCCTCAAATTCCAAACACTGTGCTCAAAGTCGTCTTACTGCCCTTCTTCCTGGGTCTTACTTCGACGAGCGATTGTGTCTCCAGGAATATCCAGAGAATTTTAGCCTAAGCTCTTAGTTTGATCTTTTTCTTGAAGCTTAATAGCTTCTAAGTATTTGAAACTTAATGTTTTTGTGATATAAAGCTCGTAGCTTAAGATTAACTTTTATTGAATATTAAACGTTTACAGAGAATAAAGTTTAGAAATCTGATGAGGGATTGATGCCCTCCACACTCTAATGGCACCCCCTTATATAGCAACTAGAAATGCGTGAATTATTGGGGTTCGGCACAAGTTGCCGTCTCACCAAACGCATTATGAAAAGCAGAAGCTTCACAAGAGTTGGTCTGCTACATTATTACATGGTGATAATGAAAAGAAAACAAAAAGCAGAGACTTTTCATGAGTTTATCTGCTACATTATTACATCGTGGTAGGGTCTTCACATGGCAATGGCTGGCAGGTCTTCTGTGGCAGCTGGCATTCTTGAATTTTCTCTTTTTTCCGAAGTGGTAGGGTCCTCCACATGTTCTTCCTTTTGCTTGCCAGACTCTCTCTTGTCGTTAGTGTCGGCAACTTTCTTCTTTTTCTTCTGGTGTTTTTCCTTTTCTTCATTGACTGTAAGAACGATGGACTGCACCATTTGCTTTGTTGCTTCAGTAGCATGAATCTTAAGGATGATATTATCCTGCCAATTCTGGACTATGGCCAAGTCTTGTTTGTCAATTTTCTTGTTGAAATTACTGACCAGAAGAATATTTGGGCTGCAATAATTTACTTTAATTTGGCTTGATGAATTTATTTTTTCTAATGTCTTTAAGATAAAATAAATTCTATCCGCTCTCTCTAATTTCAATTCTTCCTCTGTCAATAGAGGTTTTTCTTGTACAAGTGGTACTGGTGGTTTCACTTCTCCAGACACCCCAACATGAATATAGTGGTAGGCTGGGAATTGTTCTTCTTCGTTCCAGTCTGGTATTGAACTCCAGATCTTGACAAAGATTGATTTGTTATTTTCACGAATTCTGCATTTTTCCATGTACAAAGCAATCGCCTGTTTGATTTTTGGAAAATATGACAATTCTCTTAAACTGTTCTCTGGGTAGAGGGTATCAATAAATCCCCCTAGGAACAAGTCTCTTGTAATTTCAGGAGTAACTCCTGGTAGCAGAATAGCTTTAATTTGTTGATTTCTGCTAATAGGAATGTAT